TAGCGTACTGTATATTTGACCCAGATTTGACAAGCGTGGTACAGTTTTTTGCACGTGTCCGTAATAACGCGCACAAAGGATTGTGGAACAGAGTTCTTTATTTGCTGGCATTCTTGACTTTTGACTGCAGTTTTATATTTTAGAGTAAATGCTTCTGATATGCTCTTACATTGCTTAATATCCGTCTGAAATTCTGGACTGTGGTCATATTTTTCGATTAGGAGTCGTATATTTAAATAACTCACCGTGACTAGTGTTTTGCATTATGAAGTATATTATTATGAAGGTCAACACACTGTACTTTAGGTAAATATTTATCATTTCGTTATTTCATTATTTCGCTTTCCAGTATTTACAGGAAACGCTTCATTCTAGAAAATGCTATCGCAAAACGGTTGGAAATAATAAATGTAAAAGCAGAATACGTCCTAGCACAGTCACTCTACTAGGAGAGTGACTGTGGTCCTAGTAATTAACTAAGTGACTTCTAAAGACTGAATGGTGTTTGCGAACTTCGTATTAGTTATAAACCGACGTTAGCTTCACGTTTATGTCACACCATGGAAACAGCCAAAAACATGTTGCTTGTTTTTGAGCGGAGCGGATCGCCAACCAGCCTACCGGCTTGTTTGGATAAAAACAATTTTTGGAAATATTGTTATAATTTGATTTAAATTTCCTTTACTGAATATGTGTACCAGTAGTTTTTGTTTATACATAATTTCTGTTCAGTAATTTTTCCTTTAGATTATGTTTTTAAAATTGTTTCCATGCATATAATAAGGACAAACACTGTCACTGTCACTGTATGAATGACAGGAAAGAAAGGACAAAGGTCATAGCAATGTTGTGGCATCAAAACACTGCCTGGAATTCAACAGATGCAAAAGTATTTGGTTGTTGACTGTCACTGTTGTCTCTCCTGACTTTTTTTTGTTTGTAAGTGCAAATTGCAAGTGCTAGTGCTGACACATAGTGCATTTTGCCACAGAAGTCATTTCGTGTTTGGGACTACATGACAGGGCTGTGTGGCCATCTACCTATCAAATGGCAATTTAATGCGCTATCCTGGCATCAACCAGGCTCTGTCGAACACAAGCACTTGTGGACCTTAACCAAGGTTCCCCCAAAGTCGCATTTGTGAATGAATCTCGGCCAGTGGAATTGACCTTCCCATTGAGTCTGTGGCACACTCACCCAGGGTAGGGGTCGACCCTTTGATGTTCAGCCTAAGGTAGGATTTGAACTTGGGTCTACCGATCATGAGTTTGATACAACAACCACTATGCTACCAGTGACCGGTATTTGGGTGTTTTAACATTTAACAAGAGAACTGGTGATGGTTGTGAACCATAACTGCCTCAGCACAAAGGCTGTTGTGTAATATCAGGGAATGTAAAGGGAAATGTATTGTAGTGTTACCTCTGTATAATTTACAATATATCTGGATTAACCTTCACTATTAAGGACAATATGGGAGTAGAAGCAATAAAATAAATAAAATAAAAACATACAAAAAACTAAGCTAATACATTACTGTAACAGAGAAAACAAATATTAAGACTAAATTATCATACAATAACAGTGTTCTCCACAAGGGGTTTTAGGCGGGCGGCCCGCCCATCAAGTTTTACGGCCGCCTAGTAACTCTCAACACCCGCCCACCAACGTACATCCAGCTGAAATTATTTGTAAAAAGCTTTCATTGTTCTTCCCAAGCCTGAACAAAGGAGTAGTTGCCCAACCCTTTATTTTGCTATTGTTTCAAAAGTCCAAACATAAACAATGACCACTGGAAGTCTGCAAGCAGTTATCAAATGTATTCATGGCAATGTGTCAATCGCCTGAATTCATCGTCGCCCGACATTGTTGCCACTTATTGCTCACGATACGCAACTACAGTGGTTTAAATTTACAGCTGTATTTTTAATAATAGTCTTCCGATCACGAAAGAAAGAAGTAAATACGAACGAAATGTATATGCACAGTAAATAAACAAATATATTAGCAGATTGCATGTAAACTCGAACAAAAATTAAAATTCTAGACGTATTTACAACGTTCGCTCGATTTTCATCGTGAAAACAGCATGGAGTAGGCAAACTGGTGACCTTTT